GGGTTTTCCTGCCCCACCCTCTGTCTGCTTTGGAGTCCCAGTGGACAGGAGCTGCTGTGTATGTTCATGCCATTATGTATCCTCAAAGTTTTATGCAATTTTTTGCTACAGTAACAGGGAACTGGCTGAGGGTCTCAATGTTTTTCAGGGCCTGGAATTGGGCCTCAGGCAAAGAGTCTCTTGCCACCTTGGAATCTATGAATGTGCCTATGAATTCTATTATTTGTGTAGGCATCAAGGTGGATTTGGGTATGTTGAGAATGAGACCCAGTCTCAGGAATGCAGTATATTTTGGGGTCACATGCTCCTTGGCCTGCTCTTGCAATTGGCCTTGTTCAGGTGTTATCCATATGGAAACACATGTGCTGCTGTTTGGGCAGGTAGGCTGCCATCACTGCCACGTATTATGCAAACACACACAGACGGCTGATGAGAGGCCGAATAGCAGTACCCTGAACTGGTAGTACTTGGCCCCCTCACAAAGTAGAAAAACTTCTGTGGGACAGAATGATGGAGGATATGAAAGTACACATCTTTCATGTCAAGGGTGATGTATCGGTCCCTCAGATCCAGGAAAAGGATAATGGAAACTAAAACGACTTCTTTATGAATATCAGCTTTTTATGAAGGAATTGAGATCTTGTACATCTAGCATCAGACAAATCCCAGGTTGGCCTTGGGGTAAGTATTGAGAATATAAAACCCTACCTCAAAACTTCTTAAGAACCATCTCTAACACCCCTAGCGTGTGGAGTGACTGCACCTCCTATAGTAGGAATTGCTTGTGAGAAGGGTCATTGAAGAGTGACAGGGAAGAGGGATGAGAGGATACAGAACTGAATAGAGCACACCGATTTGAATGTGCTCAGAACCCAACAATTGGACATAATCTGGGTCTATGCACAGTAAAACAGGGACAATCCATTCACAAAAGAATAAGGATCTGAGTAAGCAATTGGTTTTGATTCAAAAATTCAAATTGAGTTTTGAATCCTGTGTTACACCTTAGTGGAATCCTGCCCCTAGCTAGAGGATGAGTCAGATTGTCTCCTCTTGCCATTCCTGCCCCTATGCCTTTCACTATCTTGTCTGGATGTACCAGCATAAAATTGGGCTGGGGCTTAAACTGTTTCTTCTATATAAGTGGGAAATGAAGGTTACTCATGTGAGCAATTACTGAAAGTTCTTTGAGATGAGTGTCTGGGAGCATTCCTGTGCTTTTGCAAAGATACTTCTGCAGCAGGGTCCATCTGGGGGGCACATATGCAGAGTCACTCTCACGACTTCGCTCAACTTTTTGTTTAACGTGCTGCATGTGAGACCCAGAGCTCTCAGGTCCTTTTCTACCACAGAGTCACATAACTCCAAAGTAGAGGGGGGAAGGAGAAGTAGTAGAGCACCTATGGAGACATTCATCTTGAACTGTTGCTACACAGCTGAGTAACCTTCACTTCTTCCTCAAGAAATGTCCCTGTGGATGATCCACTCTAGGCGACTTAGTAGCAGTGCCCCATAGGATGGGAGAGACTTTGGAGCTGGCAGAATGGCTGTTGAACATGCTGTTGTCAGGGATGTGACTGCTTGAGATTCCTGGGTAATAGCATAATGTTGTGTAAAAGTATATTGGGATGTCCATATCACTGCAATGCAGATTTCAATCTAGGAAACATTCTGAAAGGCTACTGATGTGAGTGTACCTGTAGCATGTGCACATATCCTCTGTGGTAGAATATGCACATATCCTCTATGGTGTGTGCATTCCTTGGCATTGGTAGCAGAGCCTGATGCATCCCACCATCCAACTGGAGTGTCTTTAGCTGGATATCGAATTGTACTTGAAATGTTCAACTACTGAGTCAAAAAGTTTTGGTGAGGTCCGGAATGGCTTAGTTTTCCAAACAGAATGACAACACTTTTCTGACGTTAAGGATGTGCAAGATGATTTCTAATGCACTATTATGGGATCTGGGGAAGAATACTGGAGATACAAGGATTGTTTAATGTGAAAAGTGCAAACCTTAGATGTTGACAGTTTAGAAACAGAAATTTTGAATCAAACTTGCAATAGCATAAGTTATAGTATCTTATGCAGCATTCATATAAGTAAGTCCAAATATGTATAATTCTGTGCCAGTTTATATGAACCTAACTTCAACAAGCCACAGATGTTACAAGATGAAAACCATCACCTTATTTTATTCTCCGGTTAATGATTTTTCAACATACCATTTTTTTTCATTTATATAGACTATTTGCTTTTAATCTCCAGTTGTGCCCTAACCAGTTTTCTGAACACCTCCACAGTTAACAGCTAGTTTCATCTTTTTTTCCATCCCATCCCAATATTGGCGATGATGCTTAACAACAGAACTGACAAATACTTTGGCACCTCCAAGCTAATCAACCACAGCTCATCAGTATTCTTGGTTTATATTCCTTAAAACAATTCCACTCACTCTGCAGTGGTAAAATCTAAGACCAATAGAATTTTCCTCCACATAGGATTTTTGAAGTACAGGCAATCCCTGGGTTACGTACAAGATAGGGACTGTAGGTTTGTTCTTAAGTTGAATTTGTATGCAAGTCGGAACTGGTACATATTGAAGGGGAAACTCTAGCCAAACATTTCTCCAGAGCTCAGTTTTATTCTCCCACACCTCACTTCCCTCAGTCCTTTATTCTCAAGCTGAGGTGTCTGCTGAGAAAAGCCGCTCCGTGTCTCCCTGGTCTGCTGGAGGGAAGCAGCTAGTGCGGGGTTGCCTCACCCCGTTTGTAATTAGGGATCCGACTTACATCGGATCCATGTAACCTGGGGACTGCCTGTATTGCACTATGGAAGCTTTTCACAAACATATCAAAATAATATAAATTAGAAGAAGAAATAGGACAACAGAATAGCATGTTTACAATACATCCAATTTGGCCTCCTCATTTTTTTTTTATTTTTTTTTGAGTAAGCAACAGATTCCATTTTTGGTAGCAGAATCTAAGCCAAGTATTTGATTCCTGCCATCAAAGAGATATTATCTGAAAAGTATTACTTACCATTCTGGTCGGGTAACCTCTACATCAATAACTGTACCAGGAGGTGGATTCTGAAGTCTTCCACCCATATGTGCAAAGAACCTCGTATTCAATCGTTTCTTCACCACTATTACTGAAAGTCTTGGGCTAGAAAAGATTATATGAGCATTGTAAGAACAATTTTTGAAACTTCAAATTTAGAAAAAAATTTAATTAAAACTCTTTAAAAATAAATGTTCGGAATTACATCTTTAGTGATCCATTAGAAACCAGACTTCTAAATAAACTTTAATATGCAGATTTTAGTAGTTAGCTTTCACTTAATATATTGCTTCTACTCAGATATTTCAGCATGATTCACTACCATAGTAACTAATCACCTTTTGCATTTGCATAGTTGCAAACTACAATATAGGTAGTACCTCTCTTAACTGAGAATGTGTGGTCTGGAAATGCTGCTGGACCACTGAGTCCAGGTATAAGGAGGTAGGGCCACAGGTCAGGAACATTTGTGTGGGGGAGCAACTTAGCCAGGAGCCCTGTGTTGAGGGATGGGGGGTGCAGCAGGGAGTTCTGGTTCTGGAGGCCCCCAAAGCCAAAGAGCCCTGGCAGCCCCAAAAGCCAAAGAGCCCTGGCAGCCATGGAGGTCCAGCATGGCGAATCATTGCTGGGCAGGCAGCAGTGGGGTTCAGCTGGAGTCCTAGCCAGGGGAAGCACTGGTCATGGTGGGAGGGACGTCCTCTCATTTGGCAAATCCCCTTGTTCAGGACCAGTATGGTCCTAAGGATGCCGGATGATGGAGGTTTAACCAGTATAGGGTTTCTTCTCTATTTTTTTTGTGCATATATTTTTAGTGTATGCTAATAACGTGTTGATTATACCTAAAATGTATAATCAACACATTATTAACATACACTAAAAATATATGCACACAAAAAATACTGCCATATGCTAAATATAGAAAAAAAAATAAGTATTTCACATCACCACTGGTCCATTTAGCATACTGTTTTGTTCCATTGAGTGTCAATACTCAGTTATACCAGCACTGACAGATTTAGAATTAATTCAAGGCTATTATTGAAACAACTGAAGATATAGAACCATGAAAATGCAAATAACTACATAAAAGAGGAAAAAATGATTAGCCTAGAATTGACATGTGGTCATGGTGAGACTGGATCTCGTTCAAAGAGAGAGACCATAATTTACATGTATATCAAGTAACATCACATGGGCAAAAGGAGCAACAATATCTTTATTAATATTAGGTATGCACTTTGTAAAAGAATACGCAATAAAATAAAAACTCAATAAGCAAGAAAGCTGTTTGAGCACATCAATTACTGGATTAACTAATGCAAGAGCACACTAGTGTAAAGAAGAAAAATACAGTCTTTTAGCAGCCTTATTGCTTTTCAGAAGCATTACAGTGCATTTTACATCATGCCAACCTTTTTGTTGCATCATTGCATGCATCATAAGGGACTTACTTGTAATCTTTACCAACAGATTTCAAGCATTCCAAAAACTGAGGTACTTCATAGTTAACCAAAGTTTTTAGCTGACCATCTCCTACACCATCACGATACACGATAATGCGAGAAGGCATATGGTTATTGAAGCTGAACCAGGCTCTTAAAGCAGCTTTTGAAGAAGCAAATTAAAATTAATCAACTGAAAGACAAGTAGTAAAAGTTCAGAATGGATCTGTATTACATGTTAAATGGCAATACATTAAGAACTCTTTCACTCCTGAGGCTTAGTCTAAACCTAAAACTTAGGTTAACGTAGCTATGTTGCTCATAGACTTTGAAAGTTCACTCCATTAAGAAACTTAAGTTGATCTAAGTCCCAGTGTACATGTCAGTAGGTGGAGGGCACAATTCTTCCATCATCTTAGCTACTGCCTCTCAAGGGGTGGATTTATAACAGAAAAACCCCTTCTGTTTTATCAAATGTTACAGCAGCCTGGCTGCAATGCCACAGCTCTGGAATCAGGAGTGCAGTTATACCTTAAGTCCCTATTGATTCCAAATCAGACTGGCAGTAAGGGAAGGTTACTCACCTGTGCAGTATACTGAACTTCTTCGAGATGGTTGTCGCTGTCAGGGCTCCACTGCAGGTGCTTTAGTGCCACTGAGCAGCTCAAGGTCGGAGATTTGTGACAGCACTACCCTGGCCAACCACACACGTAGAGTCTGGGTGTGTTCTGAGGAGATTACTGTGCATGCATGCTCTACCCTCCCTCCCTCAGTTCCTTCTCTGACCCAGGTGTGTTGTTCCCGAAGCAGAGGAGAAGAGGGTGAGTGTGGAGCACCTATGGGCACAACCATCTCGAAGAACTCCAGTTACTGCACAGGTGAGTAAACTTCCCTTCAAGGAGTGTCCCCGTGGGTGCTCCACATTAGGTGACTACGAAGCAGTATTCTTGTTAGGAGGCGGTAGCTTTAGCTGCTGAGGATCTGTGATGGACAGTGTTTTGTCCAAATCTTGTATCAGTCTCAGAAAATGTCTGGAGTGCATAATGTTGTGTGAAAATATGCGCTGAAGCCTATGTGGAAGCCCTGCATATGTGTTCTGTAGGCACACCATGTAGGAATGCAGTTGCGACTGCCATGGCTCTTGTTGAGTGGGACTGCACCAGATATAGTGGCTTCTTCTGTGCCAAGATATATACCAGTCTTATGCATCCAGATATGTATTTTGATATGGGTAGACCCTGTGATCTTTCTGTGGATTTAATGAATAGCTGTGGGGTCTTTCTAAACGAGTTTGTTCATTGTAGGTAAAAGGCTAGGGCGCTACGGACATCAAGGCCATGGAGAACCTTCAGGGTTTTGGGAAGGAAACCAGTAAAGCATATAGGTTCATTGCAGTAGAACGAGGCAAGTACTTTCGGGAGGAATTTGGGGTGGGTTTGCAGTATTACTGTGTAAGGGGGGGGGGTCAGCCATTAAGGCTGCCATCTCCCCCACTCGTCTAGCTGAGGTGACTGCTACCAGGAAGGCCACCTTCATCGATAAATTTAACAGCGAGCAAGTAGTAAGGGGCTTGAAGGGTTCCCCATAAAAGCTTTCAGCACTAGGTTCAAGTTCCATGCGGGTCCTAAGTCCTGGTGTGGAGGGAAGGTATTGTGGAGTCCCTTTAAAAAGCACTTGATGGAAGGGTGTGTGAAGACTGAGTTTTCCTGTATAGGGCCATAAAGAGCCAAAACAGCAGCAAGATGTACCCTTATGGAGCTTATGGAGAGGCCTGCGCATTGTGTATTTCCAGTAGGTGTAGTAAGATATGCAATATTCCTGTGTGTATGGGTTCATAGGTATGGGTTGCGCACCATGCCTTGAATCTCTTCCATTTTTGGATGTAGGCTTCTCTCATTGCAGGCCTTCTAGAGTTTTCAAGGATGACCTGAATTGCTTCTGGAAAGGATCTCTCCACGTTGTTCAGCTTAACAACCATGCTTGAAGATGCAATTTGTGGATGACCTGTTGTGGAATCTGACCACTCCTCTGTGTGAGGAGACACACGACTGATGGGAATTGTGTGATGGATGGTCAATCATTTGTAACAGGTAAGGATACTATGCCTGCCTGTGCAGATTGGCAGACTACTACTATCACTTTGCCCTGTCTTGTTTGATCTTGAGTATCACTCTGTGTATGAGAGGGAACGGGGGTGAATGTGTATAACAGGCGAGCTAACCATTGTATGCTGAATGCGTCCCCTAGTGAGTGGGAACCTATTCCTGCTCTGGAGCTATATAGGGGGCAGTGAGCATTCCTGTGGGTAGCGCATAGTTCCAGCACTGGGAATCACCATTTCCTGAATAGGTGGTGGGTGAGCACGGATTGATTTATCTCCCATTCATGATTTTGTGGGAATTGTCTGCTTAAACTGTCAGCCAGGGGGTTGTCTTTGCCTGAAAGATAAGTTGCAACCAAAGTTATGTTCTGTGTGTTGCTCTGTTCCTAGAAGCACATGGCATCCTGGCATAATTGGAAGGATCATGCCCCTCTCCCTGCTTGTTGATATACTACATCGTAGTGATGCTGTCAGAAACTGAACTGTTTTGATCTGGATTAGAGGAAGAAAATGCCTGCATGAGTTCCTGATTGCCCTCAGTTCCAATAAGTTTATGTGGCATGTGGTTTCTTCGTGAGTCCAGTGACCTTGGACCGCCTTGTGATTTATGTGTGCCCTCAATCCTAGTAGTGAAGCATCCATCATTACTATAATTGATGGTATGCTGCGTTGGAACTGCACTCCAACGCATATGTTGCCGTGTATTTTCCACCATGCTAGGGATGATTTTATCTTGTTCGGTATGGACAGAAATTTGTGTAATGAGTGGGTTTGTGGCTGGTAGACTGTGCGTAACCAAGTCTGTAGTGGCCTCATGTGTAGGCGAGCACTGGGCACTGCGAATGTTGCCGCTGCCATGTGCCCCGGTATTTGCAGGCATAGTCTTGCTGTTATGACTGGACTGCTATGTACTGTTGCTGGAATAAGAGTTTTATATCTTTTTATATTTGTATTTTAGGTTTAATAATGTATGATTTATGTTAAGGTAGGATTTTAGTTTCATATAAACACTAAAACCCTAGAATATTATTTATTTTATTTTAGGGTTTTAGTTTATCTATGTAACACATATAACATTTTACCAAAGAAGCCCTTTAGATAGATATACATTTCTTTGTTTTAAAGTTTAGTAAGTAAAGAAACAGGGTTTTGGTATTGTGTCTATGTTAAGGAGATTAGAAATATTGAAGGCCCAGGCCTTCTATGTGAATTGTTTTGATTTTGCTTAATATAAAACACTGCTGTTTACCTTGGAAGATTTCTGTGAAAGACTGTGTGAATGAGAAATATATCATCATAAAGATAAAGGTGAAGGCCACCGTTAAGAGTCAGATGGCCAAGAAAGGAGGGGGCAATGCGGGTGAAGACAGACTGTAAAAAACAGACTGAGAAGAAACATATCGGCATCTGAAGAAACATCAGTGCGGACCCATGGCCACGGACTGACAGAACTGAAGGTTCTAAAGGTAAAGCTGGCACCCTTAAAAGGTAAAAGATTACAGGATGAGCCTCTTGGAGATGTCTGGAATGTCAACATCAAAAGATAACAGTAACCAGTCACAGACTGACAGCGAAATCCATAGAGGAAAGGATTATAAAAGCAGGGTGCTTTGCCATGGAACTTTGGGTTCATCTTGCCACTAATTCCAGGAGCATCAGATCACAACCAACAGAAGCCCGGCTCCCCCTCTGTGATCTATCTGGCTGGTCACTAGATTGATCCAGACTTTGGATTGATAGCTATAACATCAACTGGCAGGACAGTGTGTATGGTGTGTGTGTGACTGAAAAGCATATGCTGACTCTTGTATTCTCAATAAATGCAGCATAATGCCTTTTCCCGTATAAAAAAAATCTTGTGTGCTTTGTCTAGCATAACACTGTTGCTATCAGATCCTTGACGGTCACCCATCTGTGGTGAGTTAAGTAAGCTCTGGCTTCCATGCAGTCCAGATGTGCTCCTATGAACTCCAGTGTTTGTGTTAGGGTCAAAATGCACTTTGTGGTGTTTATTTGTAAACCAAGATTTTTGAAGACTGTTTTTGCCAGTGTGACCAGTTGCTGTGCTTCTTGCTCTGTGCAGCTCGCTATAAGAACATTGTCTAGATATGGGAATATTGAGATCTTGTTCTTGTGTAAATCAGTGCTGGACTGAGCCATACTTCCACCCCGGGCAGTGGGTGCGCAACACATTCGCCGCCCCTGATTGCCAAATACTGTGGATGAGGTGGGATTGCTACCTAAGTGATTCTGGGGCTATCAGATCCTCGACCAATGCTTCAAAACTGTTGCCTGGATATTGATGGTTGTTAAGGGGAGGAGACTTGGTCAGTGGGCTGTCTTCACCTCTATTGTCTCTGACGTTGTCTATTGTTGTATTGATGCTGGTGTTGATTGAATGGTGTGTGTCTGAATCTTTGTTGGAATGACCTGTTTTGCTTTCTTCTTACAACAGATACCCGAATACTTAAGGTTCTGAGGGTATCCTTGAGTCCTTCAAAGTGTGCAGAGATGTATTTGTGGACTCTGCAAGAGCTTTGTACCCTCGAATGGGAGGTCTTCTACGGTGGACTGAACCTCTCTGGGAAATCCCAAAAGTTGGAGCCAGGAGGCTCGTTTCATTATTACAGCTGCTGCGAGTGATCTGACTGCTGTGTCTGCAGAGTACAGCATGGCCTGCATAGCAGTATGGGATATTAATGTACCCTCTTTAATGTTTGTTTTAAACTGATCTCTCTTACTGTCTGGCAGCGAGTCAAAGGTTGTCAGTCAAAGATCTGGTGTGTGTATTTTGCTAATAATGCTGTGTAGTTAGCAATTCTATTTGTAGACAGCATGCAGATACATAAGCCTTTTTTCCCCCATTGTGTCTAGTCTCTTCCAGTCCTTATCATATCAAGTTATTCATGTTGCCTGTTGTTTCCCCCTGGTTCACAGCTTCTACTACGAGGAAATCTGATATCGGGTGTGAAAAAAGAAATTCTGCCCCCTTGTATTTTCTATCTACATGCTTACAAGTGAGGGTGGCTGATGCCAGTTTGAGCCATATATTTTTGGCAGGG